AATGAAATCTTGTCACTTGCAATGACGTGGTTGGAGCTAGACAGTATTATGCTAAGTGAAATAGAGAAAGAAATACCGTATGATTTCACTCATATGTGGAATTTAAAAAACAAACCAGAGGAACATATGGGCAGGAAAGTAAAGATGCAGAACAGATTAGTGCTTGCCTGGCCTTGGCGGTAAGGGGTGTAAGAAGCTTGTGACAGTAAAGAAGTAGCAGGAGGGATCCTTGTGATGAAACAGTTCTGTGCCTTGATCCTGGTGATGGTTATATAAATCTATCCAACTGATAAAATTGCACAGATACTAAAGTGAATGTAAAACTGCTGAAATCTCGGGCGCCTGGGTGGCTCAGATGGTTAAGCATCTGCCTTCGGCTCAGGTTATGATCCCAGGGTCCTGGGATCGAATCCCACATCGGGCTCCTTGCTCAGCAGGGCGTCCGCTTCTCCCTCTGCCTCTCCCCCTGCTTGTTCTCTCTCTCTCTCGCAAATGAATAAATAAAATCTTAAAAAAAAAAAAAACTGCTGGAATTTGAATAAGGTCTCCAGATTGTACCGCTGTTATTTTCCTGCTTTTGATATTGTACTGCAGTTATGTAACGTGCTACTGATATGGGAAACAAAGGCAAAAAAAAAATGAAATTTCCTTACTACTTGCAGCCCATTGACAAGTCCTTGAAACAGGTAAAGTGAGCCTCCTCCGGGAGCTCAGCTGCCTTGATGCTGACCCCTTGCTAGGGCAAAAGGCAATCTTAGCCAGACCCCCAGAGTCCTATAAGTCTACTTTTTTTTTTTTTAAGATTTTATTTATTTATTTGACAGAGAGAGACATAGCGAGAGCAGGAACACAAGCAGGGGGAGTGGGGGAGGGAGAAGCAGGCTTCCCGCCAAGCAGGGAGCCCGATGCGGGGCTCGATCCCAGGACCCTGGGATCATGACCTGAGCCGAAGGCAGATGCTTAACGACTGAGCCACCCAGGCGCCCCTAAGTCTACTTTAAACATACAGAAATTCCTTTGGAAACTTCCTTGATCTCTACTCCCAGAGACACATGTTAGCAATCATCCTCCAAGCATATGGCCCACTGATATACACCTGAAGTGTCTCTTGACTAAGGTTTCATTAAACGGTAATAAATGACCTTTTCCTAACAATAGCCAGCCCCCTCAAGGTCCTGGAAACCTTGCTTCCAAAATTCCTTAGAGACTTAAGCTTCCCTCACCCCCTCCCAACTTGAAAGTCTATAATCAGTCACCTGTCATAACCCCAGTGCAGCTCAGCTCTTTCTGCCCCTGGGCCCGTCCCTGTGCTTTAATAAAACCACCTTTTTGCACCAAAGATGTCTCAAGAATTCTTTCTTGATGTGTGTTTCGAACCCCAACATTTCCACATCATCAGCATTGGGGAAAATTGGATGAAGGGTATAATAAGACTTCTCCGTACTATCTTGGCAACTTGTTGCGAATCTATAATTATTTAAAAATAAAAAATAAATATTAGGGAAGTGCAAATCAAAATCACAGTAAGATATCACCTCACACCCATTAGTACCAAGTATTGGTAGGATATACAGAAACTGGAACCCTTGTACATGGCTGATGGCTATGTAAAATTGTGGAGCCATTATGGAAAATGGTATGGAGGTTCCTCAAAAAATTAAAAACAGAATTACCATATAATCCAGCAATCCCCCTTCTGAGAATATATTCAAAGGAACTGAAAACACGATCTCAGAGAGATATTTGCACACCCATATTCACTGCAACATTATTCACAATGGCCAATAGGTGGAAGAGACCCAAATATCCATAAACAGATAAATACAATATGGTATATTCATACAATGGACTATTAACCTTAAAAAACAAAGAAATTTGTCACATGTATGGATGAAGCCTGAAGACATTATACTAAATGAAATAAGCCAGTCATCAAATAAAAACAAATACTGTATGAATCCACTTTTACAAGGTATCTAAAGTAATCAGAACCATAGAAACAGAAGGAAGAATACTGGGTACCAGGGCCTGGGGGTGGGTAGAAATGGGAAGTGGTAGTTAAGTGGGTATAGAGTTTCAGTTTTACAAGATGAAAAATTCTAGGGGCGCCTGGGTGGCTGAGTCAGTTGCGCGTCTGCCTTCAGGTCATAATCCCAGGGTCCTGGGATCGAGCCTCATATCGAGCTCCCTGCTCAGCAGAGAGCCTGCCTCTCCTTCTCCCTCTGCTGCTCTCCCTGCTTGTGCTCTCTCTCTTTCCCTCTGTCAAATAAATGAATGAAATCTTTCAAAAAAAAAATGAAAAAATTCTAGAGCTCTATAACACAATAATGTGAAATATAATTAATACCACTTAACTGTGGTATTAAAAATGGAAAAATGAGGGCGCCTGGGTGGCTCAGTCGTTAAGCGGCTGCCTTCAGCTCAGGTCATGATCCCAGGGTCCCGGGATCGAGTCCCACATCGGGCTCCCTGCTCGGCGGGAAGCCTGCATCTCCCTCTCCCACTCCCCCTGCTTGTGTTCCTGCTCTCGCTGTCTCTGTCAAATAAATAAAATCTTTAAAAAATAATAATAAAAATAAATAAAAAAATGGAAAAAGGATAAACTTTATAGTATTTTTTTTTTAAGCTGAAGCAAAATAACAAAATGTTTGATTTAATAAAGTTGGGTGCTGGTTATATGGTGTTGGTTATATTATCTCCAATTTTCATTTATGTAATATTCCATAATAAACATTTTAAAGTAGCTATGTTTTATTGGACAGATTTCATAATTTTAAGGCCCAATGTAAAGACAATACAGAAATTTTTCCCTGTGTTCATTTGGACATCCAATATCAAAGTTTCTAACTTGCTGGTAATGAAACAGGAGTCTCATAATTCTATTGAGATAAATGACAAACCACCGATTAACTCCGTATTTTACATATCAGATGATAATGTCCAGAAAACAACCGTGAATTTATCATTGGAAGCACAGTTTTCTCACAGATTTTTATTAAAAGACATCTAGCCAAGTAAAATTGCTTAGATTCTTTGTTTTTTTTCTTTTTAAAAGGAACTGCCTAGGCAAAAAACATTTGCCTACGGAGAATAAATGCTGGCTTTTTGCTGTGTATTTTGGTCCCTGAGGCTGTCACGAAACTGGGGTGTTTTTTTTCCCCCAATTGAACAAAAGGTAAAATTGCAATTCATTCACTGAACAAACATATATTGAACACAATGCCAAGTATTATGCTAAATTATCAAATTCCCGGTCTTTGGAGAAGGATTTTGTCATCCTATTCTCTAATTTGTTTACAAATTATCTTTTACAATTTGCTACCAGAAATAACCTTATTACTAAATGTTCACTTGATAGACCATAAAAAATTCACCTTGTTTTACAAGGACAGCGCTTGTCTTCCTTCTGAAAACATTTTGCTTTGTTGAGGTTACCAAACGTCCCACTTTGGGAAACCATTAAACCAGGATGCTGTATGACTAAATTGGTTCTGGCAATCGCTAGAAGCCCCGAATGAAGTCATCCTATCCGTCAGGAGATCTCCATTCTAGATTATTCTACCACTCAACCTCTGTGACTCAGGAGAAGCTGTTAACTGGTGACACAAGCTCAGACTCATTGTTAGTCTAACAAAAATGAAAATTCATACTTTGTGAAAAAGAAACCTTTCGTCAGCGACCTCCAAGTCCAAAATGATCTTAAAGAAACTTTTTAATTTTTATCTGTTATTCAAGTAAATCGATCTTACCAAGTTTTAGCTCATTTAACTTAAGCTTTGTTAACGCATCATATACCTATCTATACCGTAAAGTCATTGACATCATTCTGGCATATGATGCTTAGAAACGCTGTATTTTAAAAACTAACGACCTTTTCTAAGTGGTATGTAGCCGATTGGCATTAACGTGCAAATCTTCAGACTACTCCTTACTTAGGAAGGTTGGTATTAAGCCACAAACAGCCCTGCATGTTTATTTACACCCCCGGCTCAATGACTCAGACTCTGGCCACGTGTCACCGAGATCCCAATGCCCCTGCCTTACTCACGTTCCTCGGGTTATCTCCTTGCAGGACATGGGGCCACACCCAGGGCGTAGGGAAACCAGCCAGAGGGGTCGTAGCTGGGAAACTCCTCCTTTACTGTCGTTTGAACGACAAACACGTTTACGGGAGAAACACTATTTTCTTGTACACGAATTCCACGTCCCCCGAAGCGGGTTTTCGGCTGCCCCATCCGCAGCTCTCTTTTTCCCCAACCAGAGTTCGGTGAAACCGCAAGGTGGGGAAGAGACTGCAGGTTTCGCCGGAGCCAGACCTCAGCCCGCCACCGTTGTCACCGGGAGCCCGAGCCTCGCCTCTCTGGGCCTCCGCCGGGGAAGGCCGAGCACCGCCCGTCCCCCGCCCCCCGCCACGGTCCCGCCACCAGCGTCTAGCTTACAGACTCTCCTCGGAGCCCTTGTGGGAATCGAGAAGGGCAAAAGCATTCTGACTCTTTAAAAAAAGTGTCATTAAAGCTCCTTCACCCTGCTACAAGCTAGTGCAAAAATAAAACCAGCCAGTACGGTTCGCGTTAAGATGGGGGTGGGGGCAGGTTGTACTTCCACAGCAGACACTGACAAAAAAACAGCAGCGGGCCGCGCCCTCCTGAGCGCCTCCGAACCAGAACCGGGACGGCCTTCCCGGGAAAGTCGCCGCGGAGGACCGTTTTTCCTCACCTAAAGCCGGAAAAACCTAAGAATTAAGTGGGGGGTTGGGACTTCGGAGGCGGGAGCAAAGTACCCCTCCTCCCTCTTCGACCGGAAGCACCCTTTTCGCAAAGGCGCGCCTCTGTGGCGCACGCGCACTGAGTTACTTAGCAACGTCGGCGCTAAACCACCTCAGCTGGGAGCCCAGCAACAACCGAGGCGCCGCGTCTCCCACCAATCAGCGCCGGCCTCGCCTTCATACGCTTCACCAATCAGCGCCGGCGCCGCAAGGAAGTTTCGAGAGCTTTCGAGGGAGGACCCCTTAACTCAAATCCATCCGCCAGATAATATTCCTATTATTTCCTAAGGGAGGAGACGAGTCGCCTGGAAAAGAGGGGAGCTGATTTTTTAGGGTTCTTTCTTCGGCTCTGAGGAACTTGGGGCTCGGTGGCAGGGTCTAACTGGGCCGCGGGAGGTGGGGCCGACGGAACTACTTTCAGCAGCGTACGGACACGGCGGCTACGTAGGCAGTGATGAGTGACGCAACAGACGCCGCATAAATTTCAGCCCCGCGGAGCCGCGAGCGTTCAGGAGCGGCTGGTGTTGTGGGGTGTTGGTGTCTTGCTGTCCGGGTGACTCGACGTGATTGCGTCCAGTGTCTTTGCGTTCCCTAACAGGTACTGGCTGGCAGCTTTCGAGACCGAGGAGGAGTGGAGAGGGGCTCTGAGTGAGCCCAGGCTGGCGGATTCGGGGGTCGGGAGGGGCGCCTCAGGGAAAGGGGTTGGGGGAGGGGAGGGCGAGGTGACGCTGTGCTGCGGCGCCGGGCTTTTCCGGAAGAGTGGGCCTTGTTTACGTGTAGGGAGCGGGGGCGGTTGGCGCGCGCGCCGACAGAGACTAACCGACGCTCGACCAATGGAGATTCCATCGCATCTGCTCCAGCGGGGGAAGGCGGAAAGGAGGTAGTCTAGTGTGATTCCTAAAACTGTCTGGGTTTTGAATCCCAACGCGGTGAAAGGGTCCCATCTCATTTTTGTTCAAACAGCGGTTTCCATCACCCAGTTTCGTGGGTTTCCCCCCCCCCAATCTTACGTATCTTCCTCAGGTTTTGGGAAGATTCCGGGGGTGTGGGGGAAGACGATTTAGCGAAGGGTCTAGAGTAGTTAAGGCTCTGGATATTAACCTTTGGGGTTCTTTCCTTTTTTTGGGCTTTCCCGTTTTTAAGTTGAAGCCTTGACTAAAAATTGTTTTCAGCGGCTAATTTAAGACTACTAAAGGGGGGGGTTGTGAGCGACGTTAATGTAGTTAAAGCACTTGGAAGATGAAATTGTTAGCTTTGGAGAATTGGTTCTATCTGTAGGTGTTTTTTAAGGATTCATTTATTTTAGAAGTAGGGGGGAGACGAGAGCGAGAATCCCAAGCAGGCTCCATGCTCAACGCAGAGCCTGACTCGGGGCGTCCATCCCACGACTCTGAGATCATGACCTGAGCAGACATAGACGCTTAACCCACTGAGCCACCTAAGTGCCCTGGTAATACAAAGATCTTGAGATGGTATACTAACATTGTCTTTTTAAAATCTAGGTCAAAATGCAGATCTTTGTGAAGACCCTGACCGGCAAGACCATCACCCTGGAGGTGGAGCCCAGTGACACCATCGAAAATGTGAAGGCCAAGATCCAAGATAAAGAGGGCATCCCCCCTGACCAGCAGAGGCTTATCTTTGCTGGCAAGCAGCTGGAAGATGGCCGCACTCTTTCTGATTACAACATCCAGAAAGAGTCAACTCTCCACCTGGTTCTCCGTCTCAGGGGTGGCTGTTAATTCTTCAGTTTTGAATTCATAGTGCCCAATGATGGCATTGCTCTGCACTATAGCCATTTGCCCCAATTTAAGTTTAGAAATTACCAGTTTCAGTAATAGCTGAATCACTGGTTTTCTCAATAGCTGTTCAAAATGTTAATAAAAGTTTTGTTGCATGGTAGCATATTTGGTGTCTGTCGTGAAATTAATATAGTGGCGTGGGGACTCTCACCTCAAAACCTGTTCAAGGAAGGGACTTGGCATTCAGAATGTCAGTTTCAACAAGATGTCCTTTTGGTTAAGAAAAAGGTATGTTGAGTTGTGGAAAATTTGTCCTTCATTCAAGGTTATTTACAAGTAATGATTCTGATGTAATGGGAAACCATTTCAGACGTATTGCACAATTAAAAATTACCGAATATGAAGGCTTATTGAGGGAAAGCAAACTTGCCTACGTTCCCCTCAAATAGTGGTAAACTAAGGTAAGCATAGAAAGGAAATTTTGGTTGAGGCTGCTGGGTTGTGCTGCCAAGTGCTGTGATTATTGGTTGACTGCTATTCTTGCTGTCTGGTGCATTACACTCAAGTTCTGACCATAGGTTGTGAGACCCTAATTTTTTTCTCCAGTACGTGAACTCCGAGCCAAGAATGGAGTCCTGATCAACAGGTTTGAGAGTATCCTGATCTAAGGCAACTTGCTGATTTTGGTCTTAAGGCAGCAAGTGAAGGTGGTTCCTAAAAGTAAGCTGTGCCCAATATGGGGCTTGAACTCAAGGCTGTTGAGATCAAGTTGCATGTTATACTAACTATGCTAGGCACTTCTCTCCCCCGCCTCCCCCATTGGTCTTTAACTGATTTAGCTTTACATTTTTGTTGAGAATGATAAAACAGCAAATGTATCTGAGACTTGATAAAAATCTATTTTTGTGTGAGCCAGACAGTAAACTGTTCTTAAATTTCCATACCAATAAACACTAGGTGTATGTTTCCAATACTGAAATTTGAAGGAGTAAGAATCTATTTGAATGGGAGGATACCCTTTATTAATGATGCCTTAAATTCTCTATTTCTTTGCCCTTCACAATTCCTGTACTGTAACTTCTGTAAATAGCAAATGGGGTTTTCAACTTTGGACAAAATTGGGAGTTGCAGTGAGTGCACTGAAAGGGGGAGAAGTTGGAAGCCCTCTTAGGTTTTTCCAAGTTAATGCTAGTAGAAAAATAAAAACTTGGGATTTCAAGTATGCTGTTAGAGCATTTTTTTTTTTTTTGATTGATTTAACAGCATAGCAGGGAGAGAGGCAGAGGGAGAAGCTGGAAGCCTGACATGGGACTCGATCCCAGGACTCTGGGATCATGACCCCAGCCAAAAGCAGATGCCTAACCAACTGAGCCACCCAGGCACCCATGGGAGTAAGAACATCTTAAATCACCCAGAGGTGTGTCATAAGGAAACCACTGTACATCATGTCTAGAAATAGTTGTGATAGTCCAGGTATAGATGACTGGTTTCCTGCATAATTGGGAACTCTGCCTTACTGGTAGTTTATTTCTGCCCTAGAAATCCACTTAAACTTGAATGTAAAATACTAAATTGGAGTACTGAACTAAGGGTTTCTTTTTAAGTTAGACACTGGAAATACTATTTAATGGGCTGTTTCAGTGACTATTTCAACACCTTAGAGTGGTAATAAAATGCTTGGACCAGAAAGGGCAAAAACAGCTATATTAAACCTTTGGAGGTGATGAAAAATCCTTCCTCAGATATAAGGGAACACCATTTATTTTTTTTTTAAGATTATTTGACAGAGACAGAGGGAACACAAGCAGGACGAGTGGGAGAGGGAGAAGCAGGCCTCCCGCGGAGCAGGGAGCCCGATGAAGGGCTCCATCCCAGGACCCTGGGATCATGACCTGAGCCTAAGGCAGACACTGAAGGACTGAGCCACCCAGGTGCCTCACCATTTTATTTTATTTTTAAAGATTTATTTGACAGAGACACAATGAGAGAGGGAACACAAGCAGGACGAGTGGGAGAGGGAGAAGCAGGCTTCCCGCTGAGCAGGGAGCCCGATGTGGGGCTCGATCCCAGGACCCTGGGATCATGACCTGAGCCAAAGGCAGCCGCTTAATGACTGAGCTGCTCAGGTGCCCCCCCACCATTTACTTTTAGATGGGAAGGATTTCACTCTTGGAAAGTGACATCTTTTTCCATTCCCAAAATTTTATAATTGACTTGCCCAACTCTAGTTAAGCCAGGAACTCAAATCCAAGTGTCCTGCCAACTATGGGTTAGATACCTCAAGATCCACGATGTTTAATTAGATTCCTTTTCAGCATGTCCTCAAACTAGTGCTTTCAAGCACGCTATTTGCTGAATATTCAGTAGAATAAGAACAGGCCTTTTGCTACACGTGAAGCTGGGTTTCAAAGATCAGTCTTGTTCTTTCCCACATTTTGCTTTACACTTAATAAAACCCTTGATTTGAAAACCTTGAGAATAAAAGTATTTCACTGAGGGGCACCTGGATGGTCTGCCTTCGGCTCAGGTCATGGTCCCAGGGTCCTGGGATCGAGCCCTGCATCAGGCTCCCTGCTCAGCGGGAAGTCTGCTTCTCCCTCTCCCACTCCCCCTTGTTGTGTTCCCTCTCTGCTGTCTCTCTCAGTGCCCAATGATGGCATTGCTCTGCACTATAGCCATTTGCCCCAATTTAAATTTAGAAATCACCAGTTTCAGTAATAGCTGAATCACTGGTTTTCTCAATAGCTGTTCAAAATGTTAATAAAAGTTTTGTTGCATGGTAGCATATTTGGTGTCTGT